GGCGTGCGCCACCACACCTGGCTGCTATTTAATGTTTTTGACTTTGGTTAACTATAGATGACTAAAACTCTAGCAAAACCACTGGGATACTAAAACCAAAAATGTGATTTAAAAAGACTAAATATTAATAATTTACAGTTTTAAACTGCTAGTAATTTTCTTAAACATTCATTCTTTCAAGAAATATTTATCATGTAACAAATATGTGGAAACATTGATTTTAGCATCAAAGATTTGACAATAACCCTTGATAAGCCAGAAGAGATCAATGTTTCATTGAGCTTTAGATCCAGGGAGAAGGAGAAACCAGGAAATGAAGGGATTATCTAGGGGTTGGTAAGAGCCGTACTGGAAATGTGCAGAGCTCTAAGGAGAGGAGCTGGCAGGGGGAGAGCACTTGAGTAGGATGACAGTGTGCCTTGCTGATTACGTGGCAGCGAACTCATCCCGTAGATACCTGACAAACTCAGATTGAGAGATATAATCTGCAGAAGGAGCAGGAAAGGTCACACCCCTTTTCCAGTAACACAGATGAAGCTATGGAGGCAGGCCTAGGTGCATGAGGAATGCCAGGAGAAGTGGGGGAAGCACAAGCTCTTCCAGGTCATAATCAACAAGGAACAAGACTGCAATCTGCAATGTGAGTCTACTGTGGGCTTCTCAGCAATGGACTTCCAGGATCTGATTTATATTCTGAAGGTAATTAAGTCCATTTCTTTAAAAAAAAGTAGGGAAGCTGGGGCAAACATAAGGAGACAAAAAGGGGCACTGTGGCATAGGCAGGACCTGATGGCAAACAGAGCTGAGACGGTGTCGGGAAGGACTGCATTTTCAGTGTGAAGCTACATAACTTGATGGCAAATTGGTCAGAAGAATCAAAGAATATCTTGCCAGGTGATTATTCTCAAATGAAATCATCTCTAATGCGTTATATAATTGTAATCTCAGAGCTCAGTTTGAAATTCCTTTTAGAAAAATGTTGCAGATGGGAAAAAAAAATCCCTAATTAAATTTCAGTCAGCTCTGCATATCCATTGGTGCTGAATCCATAGATTCAATAGATTACTGATGATGAACACTCAGAAAAATTTGAATGTGTACACACTGAATATGTGTACACTTTTTTCTTGCCAATTTCCCCTAAACAAATCAGTCACAACTACTTAAATAGCATCTCCATCATTTAGTATGAAAAGTAATGTAGAGAGGATCAGAAGTATGTTGGAGTAAGTAATTTGCATGTAAATCCTGCGCTATAGTATACAAGGGCTTGTGCACTCAAAAACTTTACTATCCATTAAGGTCTTGAAACCAACAATCTATAGAAACTTAAGTACATGTAAATAGAGAAAGTACTAATTTCAACATTTTATGTGAATTTTACCCAAAATATTTAAGTCAAATTATAAAATCTAAAGGGAAGGATTCAGTTACAGATATTTAAAGTGCCAATATCCACTCAAGGCCAGCCTTGTCTGTATAGTGAGTACCACACCGACTGGAGCTACAGGGAGACCCTGTCTTTAAAAAAATCTGTTTGATGGGAGGCAGAGGCAGGTGGACCTTTGTGAGTTCGAGGCCAACCTGGTCTATATAGTGAGTTCCAGGACAGCTGGGGCTACAGGGAGAATCTGTCTCAAAAAGATAAAAAAATAACAATAATAATAATCTGTTTGAATAAGATCTTGAAGAAAACTGATAAGCAGAGAACACAAAGGATAATAATGGAATGGGAAGGGTTAAATGGGGTGGAGGTTAGTGGGGCAGGGTAGAGTGTGGGGAGGAAAAGCTAACACTAAAGACCTGTTGAAAAAGTATCCATGTGACCTACTACTGCAGAAAGTTCCTAAAATATATACATTCAAGTATGCAGCCTCCATCAGACAAAAGCTGGCATACAACTGAGGAAATGGGCAGGAGGCCCCAACCTGAGCTGAGGAACAATTGGCAGCTGGTCACTGCTGGGTGAGGGAGAGTCATCTTCTTTAAGGGAGTGACGTTAGACAGGCTGAAATGGCTCCTGTGGATGAACTCACACTGAAGAACATCTGGGTATACAAAGCTGATTCCATATGCCTTAACATATGTAACAGAATGCATGAAATCCAATGTGGGGAAGGGCAGATAGGGGAAGGTATCTAAATATAAGATCTATTGTATAAAATGCACAACAATTCAATAAAAATATACTTTAAAAAAAGTTTAAAGCTTGGCGTGGTGGCACACGCCTTTAATCCCAGCACTCGGGAGGCAGAGGCAGGTCAATCTCTGTGAGTTCTCAAGGCCAGCCTGGTCTACATAGTGAGTTCCAGGACAGCTGGAGTGACAATGCCCCTATTAGACACCACAGGCTAACAAATAAGAAGGCCCAGTGCTAGGAATGGGCTACCTCATTTGGAGTGTTGGCTAATAAGGTATCATATATCTCAAACATGATGGGCTGTGGCCAAAGCTCTTGGTTACCTTCTAGAACGTGACGGTAAGACCCTACTCATGAAAAGACAACATAATTGAGGCACAGAACATAGAGAAATCAAGCTGGTATTGAACTAAAAGCTTCATCCCCACTGGCTAGCTTTCATAGTGCCAGAAAGTGCTAAGAACACTACTGGAGGAGAAAAGTAATCAGTTCTACCCAGCTGTGAATTCTGCCAGCTACAGTAAGACTGGCCTAGCAAAGTACACCCAGTGGTGCCACAGTGACATGAATGCTATAGGATTAACCAACGAGTTTCCAATAAGATTTAAGGCCACCTCCACAAGTTGAAACTCAGTCGTGGCAGTATTAGAGGGGACAAGAACCTGGTACATAGGTCATAAGCCCTACAGGAGAATTTATTACTATTATTTTGCCAAATGGACATAGTATTAAACCAAATCCTAGTAACATATCATTATACCCATAGATTAGTGCATCTCTCAACCCTCATCAGAGAAATTTCCTTGTGCAGTTGATGACAACACAAAGATGCACAACTGGTCAAGATACAGAGAATGAGACTATGGAATGCTTAGTCTTAAGGGGGACACCTATATAAAACTCCTGTTCCCAAGGCGCAGGGATTATTGCGGAAGAAGGGGCAGAAAGAGTGTGAGAGGCAGAGGAGGTGGATGATTACAAGGAAAGTATTTTCTGGACACAGTTGGTGCGTATGAGCTCACAGGAATTCTGACGGCATGCAATACCTGGTCAAGCTCAAGCCAAGCCAGACAAAATCCCAGCACGGAGGGGTAGGTGGACACAAACTGTGTCCCTAGAGGAGCCGCTGACAACTGATAGCTGCTGAGAGAGGGAGAGTCCATTTTCTTTAAGGGTAGGTCATGTGAAAAGTGAAATCAACTCTTTCTAGATCCTTTATGAAGCTTAGAATTAAAGAGTGCAAATTACAGAAAGCAGGGCCTCACATATAATGCAAGCTCATTACAGGACAGGATATTATTGTAAAAATCTAATAAAGCATAGTTTATATGACTTTCTGTTTGGTGGTATATAATTTTTAAAAAAATTAAAACAAACATATCTAGTGAATGTGTGAAATTTATATGTTTTAGAATCTGATAAGTTTTTTAGTGTAGACACAATACTTGAAAAACTTAGAATTAGAGAAATTTTTTTTGCACTAGGTGCAGTAGGAGCACTAGGAACATGCAATTGGTAAAGGCTATTAATATATTCTATAATCAAAAAAAATCTGAAATGTGAAACAACTCTAGTTCCAAGCATTTCTGATACGGATTACTCGTCCTGCAAAAATTCATAGTGAAATAATGAGTGCAATGAACAAGCACCAGGATCCATGCTCTGGAGTAAGTTTCTCAGCCTATTGCTCCTTTGAGGAACCTGACTGAATTACACCAATCTGGTAATTAACATTAGGCTGCTGAGCCAATTACAGCGCACCATCAACTACCCTATGCAGCTTTATACGTCTTGTACTTTTCTTTGTTCCTGTAGGAAAAATCTCATTACATTTTCCTACCTGTATTTGTCCAACTAATTCAAGCACATAAGGTACAAACACGAGGATCCCTTCCTTACTCATTTTCTCCTGCCACAGGGTCTCACTGTTCAGCACTGGCTGGCCTGGAACCCACTGTTCAGCACTGGCTGGCCTCAAACTCACAGATATCTGCCTGCCTCTGCTTCCCAAGTACTGGGACTAAAAGTGTATGCTATAACACATGGTTTCATTTTCTATTTCTAATGGAGAGCATAGACTTGCTTGAGGAACTGGTTACACTGTAAAAGGATACAGGCTACTGTTCCTTTTCTCAGATAATTCTCAAACCTAGAATACTTTATAAAATTGATTCCCATTCTTTACTTTGTATTACTTAGTATTATGAATATATACCAGGTTGAACAGCTGTATTCAACCAGCAGTTAGATAATTCTATACCATGAAACTTGTGTCATGCTCAAAACAATAAAAAATTGTATCATATTAGGTTACCTGTGTTTATGGCATATATAAAACAGAAACGAATTTTTGTGTAGACTTGGCTCCCATTCCAGAGATATTTCATTATGTAGCAACATAAATATTCAAACGCTCATGGATTTCAAAACCCAAAACACCTCCAGTCCAAAGCAGTTCAGATAAGAGAGACTCAGCCAGTAATAAAAAATTTGCCAGCTCTTCCCACATGTTCAGATATACCAATATTTTCTTGCCATTTGAGGTGTCCATTCCTATGGGAAGGAGCTAAGTTTAATGTTGGTTTCGGAATGACTTTTAAAACTGGAAGCAGAATACACTGGCTCATAAGGCAGACATCATTGTATTTGGTTGAGAATTCACCCAGCGTTCCAACCCAGTGGTGAGACTCCACCATAGTGCATGAAATACTCTGTGCGTAGCTTATGAATCCTCAAAAAAATCTCTCTATTTTACAAGATCAAATATAAGATCTTAAGGAAGAAAATTAAAACCTAATTGTTTGATAATGGAATAAAGTTTTATCCAGAAACTAAATCTCTAGAGAAGCAGAAAAATTACCTTCAAGTAGCTTTTTCTCTGTAGAAACTTTAGATGCAGCAGCAGGAGCCTGATATAAGAAGTCACAGAGGAACAAGGACTGCACAGCATCCTGACATGGCGCCCCCTCAGAATGAACATCATGCTGAGGGAAATCTAGAAAAGTTAAAGCAATTACATGTTGAAATCCAAAATGTAATCAAGTTCCCTTTTGATTAGGAGTATGTTAGTGACCTTTGAACTAGAGGAAAAACAGCTCCAGAGTTATTACCAAATAAATACAGAGCTATAAATTTTACTTTGCATAAAATTTTCAAATAAGTATTTATATCATACTTAATATTTACATATGAAAATCAGATTTAATTTTGGAATACATGATTATGTGGATTAACTATTTCAATCTTGCATTTATAAGATTAAAGAACTATAAAAATATATATGTCCAAGATTTTTCTTCAAATGCTATAAAGCAAAGTTTTAGTAATTATTTTTTTTTTATTCTGAAGGTTTTTCTTAGCTGAGAAGTAAAGAGATTTGTCCTTCATTCCTTTCATGGATCTATCAGAAGAGAGCAGGTTAGTATAGGGCTAAAGGCAAACCTGAGAATTTGTTATGGTAGAGAAATTCCATCTGCAGACTCTGTCCAGCCCTCTTGGCCAGCAGGTAGGGGGTGCTGTGCACAGGGTCTCCAGTTGCACACATAACATCTGCTCCACTGAACAGCAAAGCCATTGTTTCCAGCACGTCTGGCTTCACTACAGCAGCACACAGAGCCTGAGCATCAAAAGAAAACACACCTTTTAAAGGACATAACTGTGATTCCTGCTAGTATTGGAATGCAAGACTGACAATTTGCTTATGAAGTTTTTATTCTATTTTGCCTAAGGAGCCTAATAATAACTGTGCTCTGAACCAGGCAACAGGCACCAAAGGTCTTCACAAATTTAAATTACAACCCAAGGCTTCAAAGTCTCAATTCACTGCCTTGGTTCTGTGATGTTCTCCTTCTGAAACTTCCAATCCATCATGGATGCTCTGGAAGACATTTTTATATGCACACACAGTATAGTGGCTGGGGCTAAGAAATTCAACCCATTTCAACTGTAATAATGAACTATGCACTAAATGTTCTGCCATATGAGTATTGTTCATCTATGTTAATACATGACATTAAAATCCGTGTGTATTGTTATATTATATTCACCTTATTTAATTCCTCTTTGGTCAGAGATGCCAAAAGAGTCTTCCTGAATTTTCCTTCTTTGTATTTCTGAGTAATAAAGTTTTTTCTCTTTTCTACTGGAGAGTCCATGTGTAATTCATCATCTTTTTGAAGATTACCAGCCCAAAAGTCATTTGCTCTTTTGTTTCCAATGACAATAAAAAGCTGAAATTCAAAAAGTATAACGTACAGCATTTCATAAAATTAATTTACATTATAAACAAAAACATAATTCATGAAAGACTGAACTCCTGAGGCAGAAGAAATAGACCACCACCATCATTTTGAATGTAGCCTTGTTGCTTTAAATAATGACAAAACAGGGCGCCAAGAACACAAAGTCCAATGAAAGTAGTCTTATTCTTTGAAACTCAGATTGGGACACAATAATTTAAAATGGCTGTGTGGCTAGTGTGTCTCTGTAAGAGATAATGGAACAGGAGCAGGAAAGGAAGGGAAGGAGCAGCAAGTCAAGACTCGGTTGTTTCACGACGAAGCTTGGCCAACAGAAGAGTAAATTTTGCCAAATTTTTTCAATCCCTTTTCTAATATTTTTCCATCTGGGTTATAAAGAAAAAGAGGTTCTCATTTTTCTAAAAGCTGCCAAGTCTTTACATCATTGTCATCAATGTACATCATAGTCTTTGTTTTAAAAATAATCATCTCTAGAAAGCTTTCTCAAAGAGCTACTGCTATCAAACAGCTATATGCCATTTGCACAGTGCAGTGAGAAACTCACCTAAGAACCAAAACAAAAAAATCCATGCCAGCCAGCCAGCCAGCCAGCCAGCCACTGCCTTCTCCCTAGTCCCTGCTCACAGTGCCCAGTGAACAGGACTTACCTCGATAAGCTCATTACTCCAAATACTGGCATCCATTTTTAGACTTCTAACCTTGGAGTCTTTTGGTCCCAAAGATCTATGTTGTCCTGAAGGAAGAAACAATTCCATTTTACATTTCCATTTTTTGTATGTTGATTTATCTTACCTTATTTTTTAAAATATGTATTGAAGGTCTGAGAATACAGTTCAGTGGCGGAGGGTTTGCCTAGCATATATGAGACCCAGAAACACACACACACACACACACACACACACACACACAAAACAACTATGTAAAGGTAGGACTGGAGGTATCCATTGGCCAGTAAAGCACTTGTCTTGCAAGCATGAGGAGCTAAGTTCAATGCTCAGAAGCCACATAAAAACAGCTAGGCATGGAGATGCATGCTATAATCCTAGCACTGGAGAGGGAGAAGATTCCTTGGGCTTGCTGGGACACCAGTCTAGCCTACTGGGTAAATTCTAGGCTAAAGGGATCTCTCTCTCTCTCTCTCTCAGAGAGAGAGAGAGAGAGAGAGAGAGAGAGAGAGAGAGAGAGAGAGAGAGAACAACAGCAACTGAGAAACTAGATGGAAGGTTGTCCCCCGACTTTCACATGAATACATGCACATGTGCATATATACCCAAACACACCTGCATACATGTGAACACACACAACATGCACAGACATATGTGTGCGAACATAATCTCATTTTAAAACATCCCCAGTTACTACTCTTCTAAATGCTAACAGTGCCAAAAGTATTCATGGTAATTATACAAAAATCCACTCACAATGGAATAACAACTATTAGCTTTATCACCACCAAGTACTGGCTTAAAACTATACTGTTAAAAGAATGTGTGTGTGTGTGTGTGTGTGTGTGTGTGTGTAGAGGTATGTGAGAGTGTGTGCATGCATGTGTGCGAAATTAGCTAGAAATCAATCAAAACTTTTTTTGGAGTGTGGAAACTGAACATCGGCCTTAGTGCTAAGCAAGTGCTCTACTACTACTGGGGAAACCTTTATGAATCAGGGAACTCTTAAGCATGAAAAACAGATACCAATCCTTTACTAGTTAAAAAAAAATGCAACCTGACAATTCTAACAAATAAATTTTAGTGTTGAGATTCAATGTGTATTTTCTATTTTATTGCTACGTATAAGGAAAAGAAGAGCCCAGAATTACATCATTGTCAATACAAATGTGCTATATAAACCAACACTCAGTCATAACTGGTATCCAAACATATGTCACATGTAAGTAAGTTGAAAGGAAAAAAGTTACATAAGACCTTGAGTTGATCTTAAGGACACTTTGCCTACGAACAGTAGAGTTCTTCTCTATGTACTATACTAAGTAAGAGGCTATATTCCTACTTTCTTCAAGACAAAAAATGCTTTAGAGCACAAAAGACTGATGGCAGGAGCTTGCATTGTTTTGCACTTTTAATTCTAGCCCAAAGGCAGCACTAGAAGCCTGTGAGTTGCTGAAGATGCTGTTCAAAAAGCCTGGGTAAGAATATAAGATCTGACAGAAGGCAAGAGGACAGGCCCAAAGCAGAAATACAGCCACATGTGGTGGGCTTCAAAGAAAGCCAGTCAGGAGTGTCTATTAGGGTTCAGGCTGACTGCATGGTACTCTGCACAGCTTCTGACCAGGACAGGAGAGAGATGAGTGTCTGCAGGTCGTGCACTGGGCTACAGGCAGCAGCAGTAAGGGCTCTCCTTCCAACATGTTATTTTTCAGGTGTCTTTGGCAAACATAGCTAGAGAATCATGGGCAGATATTGCCAAGAATTTTGTATCCGACAGTGAAAATCATCTGTTTAAAAATGAGTGCTGAATTCAAGATGACAACCACTAACCCACCAAGACAACGTGGCTACTGAAGCCAGAGAGAACTGCCACCCAAGGGAGACCTGCCTTCAACAGGTCTGAAATACCACAGAAGAGATCATGTTGAGTGGAGAAAAGACAGCTGATTACAGAATGCAGAAGGAAAATGAAGTTAAAGGAATAAAGAAAACCGTGTAGTCAGGAAAGCAACCCAGGTTTGAAAGGGAAAAAAAAGACAGAGAGTGATGCACAGAAAGGAATGGGAAGCTTTTAGAAAGGTTGTTGGTGTTAAGATAAATTGATGCACGTTAACATGCTGAAACAACAAGCTATGGTTAAACAGTTAAGAGAGTGGGTAAATAAGGAACTGATTCTAAGGAGAGAAGAAAGGAACGGGGTGTGAGAATAGCAGGGGCAAAACAAGGCTATCCCTTCCAGTGGGACAGGAGAGAAGATGAAGCAGGGGTCATCGGCTGATGCTTTGCTGCTGCAACTGACATTAATTAGGTGGTGAGGAAAGCTGCCTGGGCATAAGAAATGGGATGGTATAGAGCTCTAGAAAGTACTAAGGGTTCTAGACAGCTGCTGCTGGGGCTCTGTTGCTTACTGACTTCTCAGGGTGAGACACTCCTGTCCACCCTGTGCTATCCTGGAGCCTGGTGGTCAGCTCTAGCCCTGCTCTTATTTAGCCCTAATTACCACTTCAACATTTGCAGAGACATCATGTCACATACCTTTGTAACTCCCCCAACTAGATTACAGTAGCTGGGACCATAGGTCATTTCTGTAGGTGGGTGGCTCTGAAGGATGGGGGGCAAGGGGAGGTAGTGCTAAGAAACTGCCGTCAGTTTAAATTGTGGCTAATTTCCTCCAACACGTCCCTAAATATCACAAGACAGTCCATACAGCAAGGGTCCATTTCCTTCCATTTACTTGGATAAGGTTATAGGCTTCCAAATGAACTGAGAGGCCAGGCAGTCAGGTGTAGGATCACAAGAAGAAAAGCAGTCACAGCCTTAGTTCTTTTCATAAGCATTGCTATCACTGTGAAATGCTTCCTCATAAAAGTGGTATTATAGGAGATGTTAGATCCAGTAAACAAGGTTACAGCCCACAATGACTTTGATGTGAAAAATAAATATTAAGCACCAGCGGGGCAGAGGCAGGTGGATCTTTGGGAGACTGAGGTCAGCCTGGTCCACACAGTGAGTTCCAGGCCAGCTGGGGCTACAAGTAGATCCTGTCTCAAAAAAGACCAAAATAATAAAAAAAATAATAATAATAGCAATAATAATAAACAGTAATTCAGGAATAATGGACAAGTATTCATGCAAAGATGCAAACTTTCTCTGGACATACAATAAAATCTAAACTATCTAAAAATGATGTTTTCAAAATCTATATATGGGGCTGGAGAGATAGCTCAGCAGTTAAGAACACAAGTTGCTCTTACAGAGCACCCGGGTTTGGTTCCCGCCACCCATGTGGGGGCTGGTAACCATCCATAACTCCAATTCCAGGGGCTCTAATGCCCTCTTCTGACCTCTTCAGGCATTGCATGACACAGGTGCACTTACATATATGCAAGTAATACACTCATACACATAAATGACAATAATGAAATCAAATCTATATATGGACCATCTGACACAAAATAGGATTATATGCTAAAAAATTGATTTTTACATCTGACTCATGCATAAGTTAGAATTATAGGACATTTATAAATCAGATTTCTATTTAATAAGGTCTCTTTCCTTTCACTTGTTACAACTATTACCTAGGACACATTATGTACAATCACAAGGAGCAGTCGGTGTTCAGTGTGCCACCAACAGTGACAAGCAGAACTCATCACTGATTACCTGCACACTTCTTACAGATGACGACACAAAGATTGATGGACGCCCAGTCTGGGTCTGGGGCTTTGCAATCTGCACAGCTCCTGTTGGATTCATTGAACCAAATCTTCTCAGCTACTTCATAATCAGAGAGAGTTTCTGCTATTGACTGCTGCACAGCTTCAATCCAGTCCTGCTTCTCTTTCTCAGACTCTGCTGTAAAGCTGAACAATTAACATTTCTGCATTATCGATCTCTTTTGTAGATCCCAATTAAGCAGTGTGTTCAGTTTGCATATTCATTTCAGTCACAAATTAAACAGCAGCTGAAAATGATGCCTGCTGGTTAGTACGGGATTGTCTATTAAAAATCATCTAATTTAACAAGTCATTTTTTCTCTTACTTTTCCACATTGCTTATGACTGCTTACATACCTTGAACTGAAATTAACACACATTATTATTTTTGACCAAGGTATAAATATATCTCTTGGTAGGTCGAAACTTACATGAAGGCCGTGTCTCTTAAACAATGGCTATATAATAATCAAAAAGAGACTGGCAGCATCTCAGGACTGCTAGAATATTTTCCCAGGGAATTCTGCCATCATAGTCTGAAACTAAAATTATCAAAAACACCCACCAGAAATTGTGATTTTTGTCAGATTTAAAAATGGATTTTTTTTTTTAATTCGAAGATTGTCCAGATGGCATTGAGAGATTGAGAAACAAGAAAAGTTTTAACTGGTTAGTAATCTAAAGGATTTCTAACTCATTTTTAGCACTATTCTGACATACTTTGGATGCGTGACTCAAAGGATAACACATTAAAATTACAGCCCACTCCCTCAAGAAAGATTTACTGATTACCTAAAATATGCCAAAGAATAGCTACATTCTCCAAAAATAACCACAAGTTACCTGCCACATTAAAAATTTTGTTATACGAACTGTATAGATGGTTAACTATTCTAAATAGTCTGTACACTAACTGGCTTGTATGAATAATATTTTCTGGAGAACTTTACAATTCCATCACTACTATAATATTAACAAAATTCTTAGTGATTTAAAGAGTTTTCTTAGAGATTTGTCACAGCCGTAAATACCTGCCTTTAACTGAGGTGAGAATCTTTATGATGTTGTTTCTGTTCTTCATTATTTAGTTTATTTGTTTATATGTAATACTGAGGATGGAACCCAAGGGATTGCACATGGTTAGCAAATACTGTGCCACTGAGCTACATTCCTAGTTCTAGATCTGCAAATTTAAACATAAAGCTTATCAAGTGGGGCTAGAGAGATGGCTCAGGGGTTAAAAACACTTGCTATTCTTCCATAGGTCCTAGGTTCAGTCTCTAGCACCCACGTGGCAGCTAACAACTGTCTGTAAGTCCAGTTTCAGGAGATCCAATGCCCTCTTCTGATCTCCGTGGGGAAATCATGCACTTGGTGCACTTCCATACATGCAAGCAAAACACTCATACACAAAATTAAAAATAAATAAATAAACATTTTTATTTGACCACTTTTCTCAAAACTTGAACTAACAGACATTTCTCTTTTTTTCTTTTCTATCTTTCTTTCTTTCTTTCTTTCTTTCTTTTTTTTTTTTTTTTGTCCTTTTGAGACAGGGTCTCCCTGTAGCCCCAGCTGACCTGGAACTCACTATGTAGACCAGACTGGCCTCCATCTCACAGAGATCCGCCTGCCTCTGCCTCCCAAGTGCTGGGATTAAAGGAGTGCACCATCATCCCCTACAACATTTCTTAAGGCAAATGTATGAGATACTTAATATCTTTGAAATTACTACTTTTGATTTGCAAATAACCTGAAGTGTATTATCTGGAAGAAATGCACTAATGGAGCTGCACTCAGCAAACTGTCTCTATTCTATAAACAATTACAGATTATTAAAACACATTAAGTCAAAATCATTATAGATTATTAAAACATGTTAAGTCAAAATCATTATAGATTATTAGAACATGTTAAGTGTTTTAAGTTTTGCCCATTGTTATAACTATGCAATTACTATAATCCACTTAATACATTTTAAAACTTGCATTGATAATTTTATATGATCCATTAAACTCAGTATCATTTTGGGCTGAGTCCCTGGAAGAAATCTTATGTGGCATATGATATTAAATAGAGCTGACTGTAAAACGGGATTACTTGATTAGGCAAAAGGAAGGTAAATCCAACAGTGACAATTGTCCTACAAAGGACAGCACCATCACTAACATTATAAAATGAATGCCCATGCCATTTTGTCATAAAAACAACAACAGGGGCTGGAGAGTTGGTTCAATGGTTAAGAGCACTGGCTGCTCTTGCAGAGGACAGGGGTTCTGTTCCCAGCACCCACATGGTGGCTAACAAACATCTGTAACTCCAGTTCCAGGGGATCTGGCACAATCTTCTGACATCTACAGGCATGCACGGGTACACTTAAATACATACAGGGAGAATACTCATACTCACAAAAACAGAACATAAATTAATTTAAAATAAGACATAAAAATAACACACACCAAAAATGTTTAAAACAGTGTACCTGAAACTCCTGTAGGGTGTGATTATTTCAAAAGATTGCTTCACAGTCCCATCTACTTGCTTGACATTTGCAACATTCATAGGGATTATGGTAATACCAAGGCCACTCTTAAAATCCTAATTCAGAGAAAATATAAAATCATAAAATTTTAAAATACAACTACAATTTCATTGTAATTCAGTAACTCATACAGTTTTCTGCACTTGCATGCATGGAGTTAAATAGTCGTGTTAGACAAGAGTCCAGGGCTTCTCCTACTTGGCCACTGCTTCCAAGACATGATAATCCTGTGCCATCCTGAGTTTGATAGTGCGACTACTGGTAAGGTATTACTTCCTTTCACATGAAAGGTAAGCTGACTAGGCCATAAATACATGTGTCTTTCTTTAACAGTAGGCACTGTACTCACTGTTAGGAAACTAATGTATCAACAGACTTTAACATGCATCAAATATTGGTGGGAGAGTCAAATGATGTTATGAAGTATAAATGTCCTTTACATGGAAATAAACTGGGAAAACTAAGGCTTAAAGAGACAGTTAAATATGGAGTTCACCTAGTTGTATATGATGGAAAATAAATAAATTCATAGTTACATAGTTGCTTGCTTTATTATATTGGAATGCATCTGCTGTGACAGTTTCCCTCCTCATTTACCCTCAAAGGCATTACTGCTCTATGAAGTATACAGTTTTTCATTTCCAATATTCCAATCTGAATCTTAAAAACCTCCTCTGAGGCTACTTTGATAAGAAAATAACCCTTTGTCCAAAATCCATATCCAATGACCTCACCTTTTCTCAAGAAAATGAGAAACAAAGACACCATATTCTGAAAGGACTGATGTTTGCAACATGCTAGCTATTCATATGAGTAAGAGAACTTAACAAATGAATACTCTCAATATTTTATAAAATATCTCTGCATCAAGAAAGGGATGATCTGGGGCTGGAGAGATGGCTCAGTGTTTAAGAGCACTGACTGCTCTTGTAGAGGACTGGTTCAATTCCCAACACTCACATGGTGGCTAACAATCAACCATAATTCCAGTTCCAGGGGATCGAATGCCCTCTTCTGATCTCCATGGGTATTACACAATAGAAATGCACTCACACACATGCAGGCAACACATTCATACACATAAAATAAAATATTTTTTATTAAGAAATGATCTATGTGAACAGATTCAGACTGAATGGGTTCTAAGCTCTCATTGGTCCATTTTCAATAAAAGGACACAATAAAGACTATTAAGAAAAATAAATAATAATAAAATCATGGGTTTTTTTTTGTTGTGTCTGCTACATAGGTGAAAAGTAAAAGTACTACTTTGTTAATTCTGTCACATCACACCTAGGCCATGGGTCGGACTTTTTATCTACTTGATGTAAATAAATGCCTATGAGGGACATGTAGATATGCTTTTCACCCACCCCCCTTGTCTTTCTGTATTCTCTCGAAGTGTCATCCAGAAACATACTAGCTATTTTAGGACACCACAATCCTTGAAAAAAACAATTCTTGTGCCCTGAGGATTAGAGTATGAGGAAGAGCAGTCCCATACTCTGTCAGCATGAATGATTGACTATTCAGCAAAATATCCTTATCTTTTAAAAGTTTTCCTCTTGGTCTTTGTGGTTAATACTAAGGCATTCTTGTTTGATAAAAGTACATTTTTATAACCAATTTTCCCTGATATATAAGGGTAATCAGGGTCATCAGTCACACACTGATAAGGTCTTTATCATTTTTTTATTTCACCATTTATTTATTCATTTGGTTGGTTATTGCACATAGGTATATGTATGTGTCTGTGGTCTATGTATACATCCAGGGGGCTATGCATGTTTTAGTGTATGAAGGGGTGGCCAATGGAGGATGTCAGGTGGTCTGCTCTTTCTCCACTTTATTTCTTTGAAATAGGGTCTCTTACTGAACTTGTAGATAATCCTGAATGCCAGCAAGCCCCAGCAATCCACCCCCTACAGTGGAGTTACATATACACATGAGGGCATATGTGGCTTTTTACATGGGTGGCTAGGATTCAGACTAAGGTCCTCGTGTTTGCACAGCAAGCACTCTTTACCCATTGAGTCATCTCCCCAGGCCATCAGATAATGACTTATTCAGAAGACAATTCAATTGAATATTATATTTTTGATGGGATACTAAATGTCTCATCTTGTTGGAAGAAGCACAATTAGAAAATAAAAACTATGAGGAAAAATTCAATGAGATGGTATCATGAATGGAGATGATCTATTTCTATTATGTAGTTAGCCTTGGCTGTAAAATAGCATACTATGTGACATACATGGAGAGAAGGGAAATCAATTTATTCCAATTAACCATATTACAATACATTTCAACATTATCAGCATAGGGTTGGCCTTACTTTGCCAATTAAAAACACTAATTCTCAATTATCCATACAAATGTCCCTGCTGGATAATGAGACAGTTGGATAAACTCCCAATGTGTGTGCCAGGAATCTCAAGCCCTCTTTTACAAATGAGGAAGGTAAGAATAGCAAAATGGGGTATTTTAAAATGGTATTCTGATGACACCCTTGATTCAGGGATAAACTCCAGAAGAAAAGTATGCTTTCACTGAGTGGCCTTCTAACAATTCTCTCTAATGAGGCTCTTGACAAGAGATGAATATCAGGCCACTTCAGATTATATTCTCCAAGGTTCCTGGCCTGCAAGTATTATGTTACTAAGGGCAAAGGCTCATAATGCTCTGACCACCAGAGCAGCAGATGGTGAGAATGGCAACCTGTTATGGGAACTGATGAGGCTCATCACTGTTCCTGCCTGGATGGATGGCCCCTCATCTCCATGAACAAGTCATAAAATATCGACATCTAAAGCTGTAACTTCTAGTAAAGTGAGGGTCAGCGCAGCACTCAAAAATTTTCCCCAGCAAGGCAAAGATTATAGGTTTTGGCCTGAAAAATTGTAAACCGTTTATCAGCTGCTTGCCATGGCCATATGGTTTTGAGTAATTAGAGGATGCACACAGCTCACCAGCACCAACTGACTGTAAAATACAGAGCCGAGTAACAAAATAAATGTCATGGCTCTTGAGAGCTATTAAATATGAAACAAATGCATCTCTTATTAAGATTACTTTAGTAACAGTAAGCCTTTCAGCCTATGTAGAACATATTTAGACTAGTTCCCATTGCTGGATATTTGTCAAAATTATGTGTGGTCACATCTTCTTCCCACCCTGAGATTTGACTCCAGGAACACAAAAGTATAACCTAAGAATCTTTAATTTACAAAAACAAAACAGTAACCTAAGAGTCTTATATTGACAAACATCAAATCACATAGCAAAACTAGTAATATAACGTTAAGTCAGTATGAGCCCTGAATATTTATGTACCTGAACATAAACAGTTCTCTCTGCCTTTGCAGAGTGAAATACACCATACAACCCCAATAAAGACTACTAGTTAGACCTAAGCACAATAGAACACAGTAGAAGGACTGTCAAGATGCTATTTGTCCTGGTAGTCAAATGCTGGGAATCCATCTCACTGTCCTCCATACTTGTTTTAATCATTTTGTTATTGTTGTTGTTGTGAAGTGTACAAATAGCTATCAACTCTGATTTGATTTGGTGAATAATTCTGAAGGACACAGACAGCACACGTGTGTGTGTGTGTGTGTGTGTGTGTGTGTGTGTAGAGAGACTGAGTTTGTGTATATAAAAAGAGGGTTTTCCAAAACAAAGGAGGGTGCTAGTCAAAGGACCCCACCCAGAGCAGCCTAATGTTCAGACATGTCTCCTCCCTCGGTCAACTGTTCACAAACGGGGTGACAGTGGCATGGGCAACATCACTTCCATCACTTCAGTGAGGAACAAGTTCACACAGTAAAAGACACTGAGAAGAACGCCATGCCACAGTGAGTGCCACACAGGTCTAGTTAATTATTACCACTTTTGTTAAGTCTCTATTGCTCTAATCTGAAGCCAAATGAACGCATTACCTACTATAAAGTTAACTGCAAGAAAGTGCATGTTCAAAAATAACAAGGTGACATGAATTTTTTTTTTTGGGGGGTCTTTTTGAGACAGGGTCCCTGTAGCCCCAGCTGTCCTGAAACTCACTATGTAGACCAAGCTGGCCTCGAACTCACTTTAAAAGTACAATGAAATGTGAATGGCCAATGTTCAAGAAAATTAAAATTATATTATCTAGTAAGTACAATCTGGTTGTGAGCTCTAAGCTCTATTTTCAGTCTGACAAGTGAGCAGGAAGCAAGGAGGGCCAAACTTTCAATCTTTAAAATACTGTAAACTAGATTACAAAACAGAGGCCCAGAAATTCAAAGGTAGAAGTGTTTTATCATGGGAAGATGGTCAAGATTGACTGAGATGTTCTGTATGAAATACACAAAAATTCAATTAAAAATGGTTTTAAAAGAGCTAAAAGGAGATTGTAGAGTAAGCAGTAGTTTACATTTAATTTTCTGTGACTAACAGAATTTCAAAAGGCATGAAATCACCACTAGCAACAAGAAACAAGTGTATGGCTTAGCAAACTTAAAGACACTGCAATTGCTAAAACAACCAAGTGGTACTGAGTGTCACACTCATGAGAATCCTGGATGAGCTTCTTACTGGCTAGATGACCATTAGCAAGCTATTGGATTTATCTAAATATCAACTGTGCCTTTGTGAAAATAGAGTAACACCACCTTTCAGCAGTGTTATCAAATTCAATGAGCCAATACAAGTTAAATACCTGATATGTCCTGGCAACACCTTCACTGAAAAGATTTAAATACAGAATTTCTTTCACAAAGTATTTCCATTTAATTTGTGATCATTCATTTGTAATCAATTCATTTGAAAGTATTCACACCAATGATTCCATACTATTCAGATAGAATTTATCATAAATATCAACCAAGATACTGAAATGAGTCCTTTATACAATTTGAAAGCAATGGAGTATTGTTAAAACTACATTTGAAAACAATATAATGCAAGAAGAAAATGAAATGTTGACCCTTAAAGAGAAAAATTAAAGATGACTCTGTTAACCCTAGATCTGCTCAAATCTCAAACCTATTTTTAGAAAGAGTGGATGCTATGTTTT